AAGGTAAGGCTTTTGCAACGTTCACCAAACGTTGCGAAAAGTCACCTTTCGCAACGTTTATCAAACGTTGTTAAAAGTCACCTTTAGCAACGTTCACCAAACGTTGCGGAAAAGTTTGATAAACGTTGCTAAAGGTCTTACCTTTCGCAACGTTTGATAAATGTCACGAAATGTGACTTTTCGCAACGTTTGGTGAACATTGCTAAAGGTAACTTTTAACAACGTTTGATAAACATTGCGAAAGGTAACTTTTCGCAACGTTTGGTGAACGTTGCAAAAGCCATACCTTTAGCAACGTTTATCAAATGTTGCAAATAATATTGTGGCCGTAACACTTTTCGCAACGTTTGATAAACGTTGCTAAAGGTCTTACATTTCGCAACGTTTGATAAATGTCGCGAAATGTGACTTTTCGCAACGTTTGGTGAACGTTGCTAAAGGTGACTTTTAACAACGTTTGATAAACATTGCGAAAGGTAACTTTTCGCAACGTTTGGTGAACGTTGCAAAAGCCTTACCTTTAGCAACGTTTATCAAATGTTGCAAATAATATTGTGGCCGTAACACTTTTCGTAACGTTTGATAAACGTTGCTAAATGTCTTACCTTTCGCAACGTTTGATAAATGTTGCGAAATGTGACTTTTCGCAATGTTTGGTGACCGTTGCTAAAGTTCTTACATTTCGCAACGTTTGATAAACGTTGCGAAAGGTAAAACCTTCCGCAACACTTAATAAACGTTGTTAAAGGTGTCTACCGCAACATTTTTCCAAAAAACATTGCCAAAACTCATTTATATTAACCAATGGCAACATTCACTCACTAAAATGTTGCCAAAAGACCCTTTTGGCAACATTTACTGACAAATGTTGCCTTTTTAATGTTGCAAAAGACCATTTTTGGTGTAGTGGATGTCTTGCTTTGACTTTGCTCCATTTTTGTTAATTTTTGAAATCTTACCTTGCCTCTTTTAAAGTGATATGACTTTCTATTCCATCCAATTCAAAATCAACTATGTTAACCTTTACATCCTCCGTGGGTTTAATTACAAATTCAATTGTTGGGCAGTCGACGAAGTTGAAATAATGTGTATTAATTTCATGTTCATTAATTGTCACTTCTTTGATTGGTTCCTTTGCAGTTAATTTGTTAATTTTTTATGCTCTTATTTAATAATTGATCTCTCTTCAAATTGAATGATCGGTTCACAATCTAAATCTATGAGCAATGGCAATTCTTTCATTTCAACTTTTTCAAGTAGATTATATCCCCGCCTTTTAAATTCGCTCTAGAATGTAGAATCTCCCTTGCATATTTTGCATTCATCCAATATGGCAAATTCATTATAATATTTTGTAAGAGCCTCCTCGTTCAATAGGGGAGGACGTATGATATTCTTGTCCCCATGTGTAGATACATACTCATCCTTTGGCATGTAATATTCATTAGATTTATCAATTGCTTATTTTCAACATTTTAAATATTGTTTAAAACGCAAAAGTTTGACATAAAGGGATTAGTGCATGTATACAATCATTGTCCAGTATAAAGCATCCTATAAAAAGTTCACAATTTATGTCTTCTACCAGAATATCTTCATCATCTATGTGAGGCTCAATTATTGCAACTGTTTTGCTCACTTGCTATTGTCAGAATCATGCAGGTATTGCGGAATAGTGATTGGAAGAACACCAAACACGGGAGATCATGGTGGGTAGCCAAAACTCATAATAATAATAATAATAATAATAATAATAATATAAACTAGTAAACTCAAATTAAATGCTTTATTTCTCGACAATGATGCCAAAAATTTATTCATGAAAATTCTGCATGCATACAAAATCGTTGACAAGTAATAGATTTGATGATTTAATATGGTATTAAGACGCTGGATAAAGTTACTTTAGTGGCTTCCATGATTTTTATTTATAGAAGGTAAAATTATATCAAAAACACGTTCAAATTAGGTTCCAAAAGAATTTCAATTAAATAAGGAAAATTATCTTGGTGTCATGCATCATTATGTCTCCGTGTACCCATCAATGTTTTTGTCATATCTTTTTCTTCCAAATTCCGATATTCGATTGAGCTCATATATAATACATTCGAAAATATGGTACATAACTTGTGCGGCTGGAAACTGATTTATAAAAAACATTTGATTATATTTCACTTATTTGACTTCTAATTGCTCCCAATTGACTCTTAGCGTTCGCCAATTTTCATCTTGTGATCCAAATCAATTATTGAATATTTGCACTTCAATTCCAGTTTGCCTAGAATTTTATCTAACAAACAAAATTAATACGTATTTAAGCTATAATTCATCCAAATCAACAATAAATACTCTACTTAAATACTCCAGATAAATGTACAAAATATATTTAGCCCCATGAGGTCATTGACTATTTCATACACACCCCTTCCTCTAAAAAATTACGGATACCCATTTTTAAAGATGAATTATGTTTACAATGCACGTAACAGCGTGGTATCAGAATGAGAAAACAATATTGCATTGATGTTTAACATAGCGGTCAACATTTCCACAGTGCTCGTGGAGGACGAAATTGCACAAATGAAAATGTTGCACAGAAGTTTAGGGTATGTTGGTGACTGAAATGTTCACATTTCGTAAATTCCATGCTCCTTGCATCAGCACATATTGAAACCACTTGAGACATCCTCAGCTTATTGAAAGCCGCACTGAAATAATTCTTCTCAATTGATATAAAAGAACTCCAATGAGTAAAATGTAGGGCCGGTCCTCAAAATTATGAGGCCATAGGCAATAAATTATTACGTAACTCTTAAATATAAATGAAATGAATATTTTTAAAATGAATAATTTATTTTTAACTTTTATAAATTTAAAAGAAACTTTATAAGTTTAGCAAAAAAATTATAGGGAATAATTTTTAATTTTTTTTTCGCATTTACTTTTTTATTGATTTTCTTTCTCGACTTTGGTAGATATAAAAAAAAAAAAAAAAA